CCCACCCCCCGAGGCCTCTCCCGGCTCACCCACGATGTGCCTCCTCTGATGGTCCTGCATGACGTCTTTCCTGTAGAACATCTTGTTGCAGATCTCGCAGGCGTAGAGCTTCTCGCCGTGCTTCTTCTTGTGCTTGGACAGGTTGCTGTTGGTGGAGAAGAAGCGGGAGCAGATCTCACACTGGAAGGTCTTGTCGTCTGGGGGGAGAGGAGCCGGGCAGCCGCGGGGGTGACCATCCTGAGCTGAGCCAACCCCACGTCTTCACAATCAAAACACTTCCCTTTTCAGTGCCAAAGGGTCACACCGATCACTCCTAAGCCCCTGCATCTCTGAAAGATGTTATCGCTCTGTGCATATTGCAGCAAAATCTCGTTCTTTTCAGCTACTCAAAGGTGTCCTTCCTTTATAGGAAACAAAAAAACCATCTTCCTACTACTGACAGCCGTAATAGTTCTACAGAACCCTCTAGTGTCGGGTCTGGCACCAATTTCTTGACGCATTGCCAAGTCTACTATGGAAAGGAACACAGTGATGATGCAGGAAAAGACACACAGGAAACAGTACAAATGCAATATTTGTACAATTGCATGATATATAATAATGAAACAGATACATCCAGAAATGTCCCAAGGAAAAAAAAAGGGGGGAAACAGAAAAATGCATGTGCATAAAAAAAAGTTAATACAACTTTCACAGATTCCTACACCTGTTCTGCAGTTGTGGAACTTCAAGGCATTCTCCACTCTGAAGGCCTTCTCACAGGTGGCACACTTGTACCTGTACTCCAGGTCCGCCTGGGGGCGAGAGTTCACAACAAAACAGACCGCTGTGTGAAAACCAGAAAGGCACAGTGAGCAAACAACAAGGTCTAGGTCTCTTATCTCATGCGGATCTGCCACACTGGCATCGCTGCAGAAATGGGGCTCAAATTCCCGAGGGGAGAATGTCTGATAGTCTTCCCGGGATGTGTGTGTGTGTGAAAGGTGGTTGTTAATAAAAAGAGGCAGTGGCTCGGAGGCGACCTTCTCCAGAGGCAGTCCTACCTCGTTCTTGCTGTGTTTGTAGGAGATGTGCTGCTTCAGGCTCTCTTTCCGGCTGAACATCTTGTCGCATTCGTCACATTTGAAAAGTTTGTCGCCTTGCAGGAAGGGAAAGAAAAGAAAACACCGGCCAGTCCACATCAGTATCCGGGTTAAACCCCTGTCCAGGACAAGCGTCACGTAATACTCAAAAACGCAAACAGCCGGATGATGAAATCCCAAGATCACTAAAGTACATCACAAAAGCTCTACATGGCTGATGCTTGTATTAGTTACCCAGTTTAGGAAACAAATCCTTTTCAATACACAGTCAATAACCTACAGAGTTATTTAGTTCCAAGAAAAACATGCAATTGTAATACCAATAACATGATGTATCGGACAGTAATACATCCTCCATTTACCTCTTCAAATCTTCAAATCTCAGAGAAAGCACTCTACAGTTCCTACACATTGGAGCTTTTCCCTCCACTGATTCCAAGTAGCTCCCTGGACGCATGTCAAAACACTGGTTCTTACCTAAGGCTGTATTTACCATACTCTCCCCCAGTCTGTCTCCAGTCCCTTGTCACTTCCTGTAACCCCTCCTGACCTCTCCGTTTCCCCAGCCTGTTCATTCTGTTCCCTGGCTCCACATATAATTACAAAATATTTGAGTCGCAGTCGGGCATAAAGGAGTCTGAAGGAAGTGGCAGTGAGGAGGAGGCAGGGCGGAGTAGGCCGCGTTACCGTGGGAACGAATGTGCCGGTTGAGGTTGCTGCTGTTCTGGAAGACCTTGTTGCATAGGCTGCACTGATAGACTCGCTTGTGGTCCCCTCCTTGCCTCATGAATCTCTTCCGGATGCCAGGCCTGTGTCAGGAGAAGAGAGACTCGGTGATTGCCTCTTGCAGGTGAGTTCCTACTATCCTGTACTAAGGCAGAACTGGGACGCGTGGTAAAAAGAGTTTTTATGCGGGCTTTTCTGTTTATTAAAAAGGAGCGCTACCAAGGCAAACACTTTCATGCCTTGCGCCACTGCAGCCCGGATGAGCCGAGAGCCCCTCGCGTGTGGATGAGACTGATCAGACTGCGAGATACCATCGCGGGGATAGACTATTGCTGGACCAAGCGATGTCACTTCCTGCGTTGTGTCTGGATTTCCCGACGCTGCAGCAGTGTGGCGGGGTACGGAAAATAGGGGAATTCTCTCTCTCGCCCAGGACGACCTGTCTCATTGACCCGGAAGGCCGCGGCCCGGAGGCTTTGGGGGAGCTCTTACTTCCCAGTGGGCAGCAGAGTGCGGGTCATCCTCTGCAGCTTGCCGGGCACGCCGTCCTCGCCGATCACGATGTCCGGGGCCTGGAGCAGCGCCAGCCCAACGTCCGGAGGCATGGCACTGAGGACCTGCTCGATGGGGACGGCCGGCGGGACGGCGGCAAGGCCGCAGGCTTTGAAAACAGACAGAGCGGCCCGTCAGGATGGGGCTACCCCTCTGACTCCCGTTAAGGAGCAATACGCTTCGCGAAAGGCCGAGGACAAAACATAAAAGAGTTCTGCTACGGCCTAGGATTAAGAAAAGAATAAAATTCCTTTTTTTTTTTCCCGGAAGCCGACTTGCATTCACGCATAACAACGTAACAAAATTCACCCACTGACCTCTGCTCATGTTCGCCTGCGACTGGAGTGGCGTGGGGCCTATTTTGGGCATTTTGGGCTTCCGTACCCGAGCCTGCTTTTTCCTGGGGTCCGGAGGGGCGGGGGTGACCTCGGGGAGCAGCAGGGGGTCGGGTGGCGCCCCTTTCTCTTCCTGCTGGACAGTGGGGTCCCCCGAGGGCTGGGGCACCACTTTGACCTCCTGCAGGTGACTCAGCAGATGCTCTGAAGCCAAGAGGAGAACAAAAAAAATGGAGCAGTAGGCCGATTTCTGCCTCGAAGCTTGGTTCGCTGGTAAGAGCCCAAATGAAAAGGTCTTCGCCGCTGCGCAGAGGTCTCAGAGCTGTCCCTACTGACATTTCTGCACATTTGAATACACAATGACTATTTATTTGCTGAATTTAACAGATTGAAAAAGAAAAAAAACAGTGAATGTGGCATGTGCAAATGTCTGGGCACCCTTAACTTCTTTGGCCTTTAGACTCTCAGTGAAACATGCAGTTTTACCAGGGGGGCCCAAGAATTCTGCAGACACCTGTATGTAGAACCCTGTGCTTTGAGAATACCTGCGAGGTAGTAATTGCTATAAAAAGTGCAGTGATTTCCGACTGGTGAAATGCCTGGGATAAAGATAAGGTTCTTTTCTGGGGATGGGGCTTTGAAGCGTTCTGGAGAGCCCTTCACCTGTGAGAAGATGTGGCTCCAGGAACACAGCTGAGCACAGCTTGCAGGTCCACTGGTTACACTCCAGGCCCTGTGTGGAGCCTCCCTGGACAGCTGAGGAAACGAACAGAGCATCAGAGGCACGAGCATGTCACCACGCTGCAGGACACGTCTCCTCGCCCCAGCGAATCAGCCCCGCAGACGAAACACGTTCTGTCCAACAGCTTCAGCCCCTTGGTAAAGCAAGCTCTGCAGTCAAGTCAAAACGTGTGTTTGTCGAAAATAAGAACACAGGGCAACCGTCTGTGCAAACCCGCGTTAATTACAATTTCGACGACCACACATTTGTTAAGAACATCACAGGGGGAGAAGGTGATGGAGAGAGGAAGTTTTACTGTCTTTCATAATAAAATGATCCAAAAAGCCGTCATTTAACTAATCTGCCAAAAATACAGCTCCTCTTCTTTGCTCCCAATACCTGCTGCCTCTCCAATGGCAGCTGAGAGAAGACACCTGTGCTTCCCCTCCCCACTGCCTCACCTGTGTCTGGGGAGACTTGGGGGTCGGTCTCTCCGCAGGGTGGGGACGCTGTGGCCCCACTCTTCACCACATTACCCCCAGCCAGCCTCGTGGGTGAACTTGCAACATCTGGAGGAAAATTACAGGGCAGGTCAGGTGGGGGACATTCTGTTTTTAATATAAACGGATCAATGCAGCGGACACTGCTATCTACAGTACGTTCATATTTTGTTCCATGTATGTAACGCAAGAGGCATGGAGACAAAGGGTTAGCAGTCTTGCCTCCCAGCACTGGAGCCCTGGCTTCAATTCCTGCGGTGTTGTCTGCTTGGAGTTTGCATGTTCTCCTTGGGTCTGCGTGAGTTTCCTCTGGGTGCTCCCGTTTCCACCCACAGTCCAAAGACATACCGGTAGGATAACTGGTTTCTGGGATTATGTGTGCGTGTCTATGTCTGCCCTGTCCGTGGTGTCCCGTCCAGGGTGCACCCTGCCTTGTGCCCGTTGCTTGCTGGGATAGACTCCAGCTCCCCTGCGACCCTGAACTGTGGTTAGAAAATGGATGGACGTATTTAATGTCCAGTGATGCCCCCGTGCTGAACTTCATGAACCCTCGTGAAATAAACATCAGTGACGAAACACAGCTGCACGGCGCCCGCTTCCCTGAGCGGGAGGGCGTGAAGACAAAGCCACGGATTTCCAAACCACACACGTCGAGCTGCCAGGCGGTGAATACCGGGAGTTCACGCCAGTTCCCACACAGCTGTGTTGCGCGGGTACCTGTGGTAGATGATATGATCAGCGGCTTCAGGACCGGCTTCTCCATCTTCTTGGCATAGAAGGCCCCATACCACACCCTCAGCTCCGATCCAGGCTGAACATCCTGCCAGGGGAAACAAGGCCAGGCAACAGGTCAGGCTCTCCTGTCCCTCCTGGAGCAGGAGGGGGCTGCTTTTTTTTCCTTAAGGAAAAGGGTGTTTTAAGTCAAAACCTCTAACCGACTTGCAGAGGATCTGGGTCCACTGCAGTCAAACTCAGCTGTCACCTGCTCTGTTACTGAACATGCACATCAGATGAATCATGGTGCACCCCCTTCCTTTCAAGTGGGACCGAGGCCTGGACGGGACGCCGTACCTGGGAGGTGTTGAAGTAGACCTCATCGTCCTGCTGGTAAGCGTTCAGGTTCTGCTGCTTGTAATCGGAGGCGGGCCGGACCAGCATCATCCAGTTACAGTCGTCCTCGTTGGCGGTGTCGAAGCAGATCACCGCCCCGTCCTTTTGGAAGACCTGCCGGCGCACACAGCGATGAGGAGGAGGAGAGGGCGGGACGTGGAGCCCAGCCGGGGCTCAAACACCCTCCAGGCCATTTCTCCTTTGCTCCCGGAAACACGCCCAAAAACAACAGGAAACAAGATGGGGGTGCGCACACGGCACAGGGCACTACGAAAAATGTTGGGGAGCCCAGGTAAAAATAATCTAATAAAGGAGCTTTAAAACGGACAGAGCAGGGAACACAAGTCCAGAGCGGCAGTCGCACTTAAATCTCCCACTGAGCGCGTTGCAGTCTTTCGAAGGTGAAGTGCAGATGCCGCAGACCCACCTTGAGAGGGAATGGCACGTCCTTCGCCAGCTGGGCCACTCTCTTGGCCTCGAAGGGCCCGAACCGCGTCCTCTTCACCAGCAGCTGCAGCGCGAACACCCCCTCCTGCCCTTCACTGGCCTGCCTGATCTCCAGACTGTCCGGCAGGGAGGATCTGGGGCCGCAGGGAACAGAGCAAGACACATCGTTCTGGGCCCCCGCAGAAACAGAATCAAAGGCTTCCTCAGGACACTGAGCTTTGACATGGTATAAGTCGCTGATAAAGACCAGCCATTTGGTTTCAGATAGCTGGGTTTATAATACCCCTTTGTGCACAGGGTGACAGTGACATCACACATTGTCTAAACCGCACACAAGTGACAGCCTGTGCTAATCTGAACACCAGCTTTCCAGTTTTCGGTTAACCCGGAGGTTTTAAAATTGCTCTGATGTCTGCCGGTCCCGACTTGAGAAAGATAAAAAGAACTTGAAGAAAATGCAACATGAGCGTGTACGCTCATCCTTCATGAAATGTCTATAAACGCGACGGGCATGGTTCACAAGAGAGGAAAGAGAGGAGCGGTTCTCCTGAAAGAACCCAGAGCGTGTGCACACACGACAAGGCCCACACTTCGTCTGGAGCTGCCTGTGAGGAGCGGCGCCAGGTGTCAGGTCTAATTAGCGGCAGACAGGAAGACGCAGTGCAGCGCCCTGCAGTTTACAAATCAGAGGAGCAGGAGGGAGGTCGAAAGAGAGGGAAGGCCAGAGTCCCACAGCAAGAGAGCAGGGGAACAGCAGGGCCCTGGAGGACATGAAGAAGCAGCGGGTTATTTTCAACTGGCGCTGTCCCTCAGGAGGTCCTCCTGCGATCTCTGTCGGAAAGCCATCAGGCCACACACGGTACGTTTCACATATCAATAGTTCGGGAGCACGGCAGCGACTGCAGGGAAAACCAATTTGCTACCAATGGCAGCAAAGGTAAAATTTTTAATGAGCAAAACCGTCCTCGTGCCGCATTAAGCTGTGCTGACGAGAGTGATTCCCCGAAGTGAGTATTTATCCTGATTTATAACGAAGTTAAAACGACACTGTCTCACTCCCCCTGGCGGGTGCAAGTCTCTCAGCCCCTACGCTCTTGAACAGCGTGCATGAAGAAGCGAATGAACCCGTCTCTCTGTGTTCGTTTACTGGCTTGAATGCGTGTTCCACCCTAAGATACAAGTGATGCCGATCACATGCCTGAACCTCAATACAACAGCAAAAACAAAAGAGAGGTCGATAATGTCTCTCCCCCTCGTGTGACGCCAGCAGTTACAGCCACGATGCTGTGGCACAAACAGGTCACAAGAGTCTCTGAAGGTGGTGAGAGGAATCCATCCATCCATTTTCTTACAACTCTTTCCAACTCAGGATTGCGCGGGAGCCGGATCCTATCCAAATTAGCACTGGGATTAAGGCAGGATACACCCTGGATGGGATGCAAGTCCATCACAAAGCAGACAAACACACTTTTTCCCAACAGGCAAATTAACCTATAGTATTTCTTTAGACCCCTACTCTTTTCAAGAAATGCCCTGGGATTTTTTATGACCACAGAGAGTCAGGTCCTTGGCTTTATGTCTCATCCGAAGGACAGTGCTTCTTTTACAGTATTGTGTCCCCGTCACTGTACTGGGGCATAAGCACCCACACAGCCTGCAGGGTGAGCGCCCCCTGCTGGCCCCACTGAAACCTCTTCCAGCAGCAGCCTTAGCTTTCCCAGGAGGTCTCCCATCCAGGTATTGACCAGGCTGAGCTCCAGTGATATAGAGCGATATAGCTGCAGTACTCTCAGGACAGTGTGAGAGAGGGTCAGGGCTGGGCAGTACCCTCAGGAGCACAGCGAGACAGAGGGTCGGTACTGGCCGGTACCCTCAGGAGCACAGCGAGACAGAGGGTCGGTACTGGCC